TTATTAATTCTTATTTTTGTTTCCCTAATATCTTAGTTCATATTCACATGTTGAGTGTAGGTTAAGTAAAGAGAATTTATTTGTCAACACAATTAGCTATAGTTGTGGTCATATTAATTCCATAATGTTAGGTATAATTGCGGTGATGTTAATTCCATAAGTTTAGTAGATTATGTTCTTTAATAGGTTCCTATAATTATGTACTTAATTTTATATTTCCTAGTTAGTCTTATTTCTTAATTAGTATTTTTTTTTTCCTTCTTTATATATATAAAGAGATTGTATTAGTAAAGGGAGATCAATTTTCTATGCCCATCAATTTCTATCTTTTATTATCATGGTATCAGAGCTGTGATAATCTAGAATTTCTTGGTTTTGTTAGAAATATTTTCTGCTTTGGCTTCTCGGCTATTGCAGGCAATCATTCAGTGTTCTTTGGTGCTTGTCTTTGACTTCAACCATTCTTCAAGTACAATCTATACTTTGTCTTTCGTCACTTCATAGATTTTGAAAGATTGGATACTATCTCTGCTAAGTTTAATGGGAAAAACTATCCTCTTTGTGAGCTTCATTTTCAATTGTTCATATAAGGGAAAGAATTCTGTAGAATTTTATATGGATCATTGATAGAACCTATTGACAATAAATCAAAGGAAAAATGGAAGGCAAATAATGCTAGAATTATTACTTGGATTTTGAGTTCTGTTAAGAAAGATATTGCTTTGAATTCGATATCATTTTGTACTGCTAGTTCAATATGGGATCCCCTTAAAAAAGTAATTCTCAAACAAACCAGATAGATAATTTGAAATTGAATATGCTATGCTAAACTTAATCAAGATGATTGGGATATAAGAACCTTTTATGCTTAATTGTTGGGATTATGGATTAAGTTAGATGTGGTGTCTTTGAACTTTGTTGAAAAGTCAGCCTACCAATAATTAAAGAAAAAAAGAGATAAGAGTAGGGTACTATAGTTTCTCATGAAACTCATACCTGAGTATGAGAATACTAGAGCCAATATAATAAATCAAGGAATAATAGATATTGATTCAATTTTAAATTTTAGGTGATTTTCTTTGTGAGGAAACCAGACTACGCACTCAAGCCGTTTTAGATGCTAAACCAATTCTATTGATATTATTTTTTTCAACTTGTTATGGCAGGCCTCAAATGAAGCAATCAAATGGAGATTATAGCAAAGTTCAATGCTAATTTTGTAATAGCATTAGACATATACAATCTCATTATAAGACAAATAATGAATGTAACTACTGTAAAAAGAAGTCACATGTGATTCTTGACTATCAACTCTTGCAAAAGAAAAAATAAAATCAACCTATATTTTTCACCAATGGTTTGGGTGAAGAACTTGATAAGGCTGGCGGTTCCTCTAGTAGCAACTTGAACATCACTCAAAAAACCATACAACAGACTCATTGTACAATGTAGCACTGTGACTCTGTTTATGCTATTATACGATATATATGATTTTATAGCTATTATTCTACTTGAGTATATATATTGCATGATAAAAGATGTGATACCATAGTATGTCATTTATGGAGATGGTGAATCTCACCCACTTATTTCCCTTTCAAATACCAAAGGTACCACTACTAAATAGTGGGGGTTTTGGGCGAGATATTTCGGAAGTTAGGTTATGAGTATCAGTAATTTGTGGTTATTGCTTTATACTTTTAAGAGTTATAATAAAAAAAAATATTAAAGTCTCACACTGTATGTAAAGATTGTACATATATTCAAGGGATGATAATGCTTATGCATTTTATTGTAATAATAATTTTTATTATTTATATGAGATTGTGCTTCGATCATGCTCTATAAGAGGCAGTTATGATAAAAATTCTCTACATATGACATATACATCATTAAGCCGTAGAAACATTCTCGCTAACCCATGAGTATATTTACAATAGAATACGTCTAGAATCTTAACTAGAACTAATATCCTAGTGCAAGAAGTTCCTTGATCATCACATTAGTTTCAAGAAAAAACAAGAATTTATTCTTTGATAGGACGCACAATCTTCTTCAACAATCAAGTGAAGATTCTTTGAAATATCTTTCTGAAAGATAATCCAAGATTTTCAATTATTTAAAAAATAAAAATTAATAGCACAAACTTAAGAAATTTCATTTTAGTTTAAGGAAAGATTTTCTCAAATGGGTTTCTTTCATAAATCATCGTTGGAAATACTTATTTACATATTCCATAAAAAATTATTTAAAGAAGACTTAAAAAGTTACTTTAAGGTTGTTTCTTTAAAAATAGATGTTTTCCATAAAGTTCAAATGAGTAGGTGGAGTAGAAAATATTTTTAATAATGATCTTCAAGTTTTTTAATGAATTTTTTTTCTCTCACTCACACACTCTATTTTCTCTATTGTCTTTCTTATTCACATCTCTTCACTGCTACTTTCAAAGTTAGATACTAGATATTTACAAAACAGACAAAAAATTAGTTAGATAGTTTTGAAAACTGCATTGTTTCGTCCTTTTTAATAGTAAAAAAAATCATTTTTTCAGTTAGAAATTGACGTGATTCGAGTAATGCTTGAGTGTATCTTCAAAGTGATTCATGACTATTTTGGTTTGTAAAATATTTAATGCATTAAAAACCTTTTTCGAAAATTCTTTTCTTTAAAATTTTAATATTGCAATATAAGAGAAGTTTCTTCTTGAGTTACACAACTTCTAGAAAAGATACATAGAAACCTACTTTCTTTGGTTTCTTCTTCAAGCTCTTTCTTGAGGTTTTTAAAGAGTATATATTCATGTCTTCTTCTTTTTTCCCTTCAGCTCATGAAAAATGCTTCACAATACATTTAATTGTTTTAACTCTTGGGTCGACTATTAGTTTTAAATATAATCTTAAAGCAACAATAGTTTTAATTAAGTATTTGTCATTTATTAAAATCAACACACATTTTTCTCATAAGTTAAATTTTCCTTCAAGTTGATTGGTCACAAATGGAGCTCATGTGATAGTTCTTGGATTTATTTCCTCAAGGAAGAGACCTAGAACACATTATAAAATTGTGACAAATCTGGTGGTAATGCTAATCGAGAAACCACATGACAATCCCTTCAAGTATTTAATAAGTCCTTTGCATGATCTGCTGAGTGCAAATCATGATCAATCAGGTAGTATACAATATGAACTAACTTGTGTACTAAAGTTTGTAGGATATTATTCAATGATACAATTAGATTTTGTGAAACTCTACTAATATTAGTAAATGATTGTATCCACTTACTAATTTAAGCATGGATTTGAGTTTGTAAACTTTCAATATATAATATTAGATTTTAATTTGAAAGAAAATTTAAAATATAAAAATATAGATAAAATTATATTTATTTTAGTAACAGTTTTAACGCCATTTAATTTTGTTGCACTTTTTACAATAGTTTTAATACCACCACTAAAATCATGAGCTAGTTGTCAACACTTTTTAGTGACGGATACAAAAATTAAATCACAGCTAAAGTATATGAATGGCAGTCTCCCACGTGGCAACACTTTCAACGGTGGGGAAAAAAAGATAACATGTATGAGTTTTCCCGACAATTATGTAGGCAAAAATTATGCTGCAATTTGTATGTAATCCACCATGTACTTATTCAACTATAGAAAAAAGCCACTGAAGTGGGGAAAGAAAAAAGCATCTTAATTCTTTCTTTCTGTCGTAGTGGAAGGAGAATTGAATGCACATAGGATTATGTTGTAGTTATATGTCGATTATAATCTTATACACCAGCTCATTGAAGGAGAAACAATAAATTTACTAAGTTTATAATTACAATTTTACCGGATTATCACATTTGATAATATCTAAGTCCTCATAAAACTACTTATTTACTAACTCATCTTGACAGCTGCATTGATAACCAAATATCATTAAAGATATTGAAAAATAACAGTAAATGTACGATCATATGTACATCTAAGAACATTACAATAAATATTATCCTCAAACCAAGTTCTTATAGACAATAAAGCACAATTATTAAAGGACCTAATTTTCCTTTACCATCAATTCCAAAAAATCATTTACACTGTAGAAAATCTTCTCGTATCACAAATGGTAAAATCATTGGTACCAGATAATGATAACAATTCACTAAATCTTCAATATTATCACACAAAACATTGCACCTATTTGCATAGAAACAATTCTTCTTGAAGAAAATGTCTTAATAATCATATCAATTGGAGTCAACAAGTTACAGGAAAAGCAAGAAATTAAACAAATTAAAGGGTAATTTATTAAGAAAAATTGAGACGAAAATATCCAAAATAATAAAATATATGAAAAGAAAAACCAATACCCAAGCAATTTTTAAAAAAAGAAAAAAAGAGTCATATGTGCAACATATTATATTAATTAATATTTAATATAAAATAAAATCTCTTAGATATATTGCAAGCTGAGGTTTTTTACTTGACATCTCATTATAGGATATCATTATCACTAAAAAACTGCTAACTTAAAAAATTTATTTTAATCAAATTAATAAATTGTGTTTTTTTATTTTGAATATTATGCAGGTACCTCAAATATAAAAACTTCCACTTTTGCCCCTTTATTTCTCAAATATTGTTTTCCATCTTTATTTTTAAATAGGCATGATGTAGGAACCATGTTCTTATTTTTTGACAATTTTCCCAAGTGATACCTTCAAATTCCAATTAAATTTGACTTTTTCTTTTTAAAAAGACAAACTAATGTTTTATCTGGGTACCAAATTTCTAAAATGTCCCTTTTTTCCTTATTTTTTTTAATTTAATAAACAAGATACAGCAATCTTATCAAAACACATAATAATGCAGGCTACAAACTTCTTTGTTTATAGCTGCTGCTTAACGGGAAATAGTGGATCATGAATGTGTGTACCTTCTATTAGTACTTTCAAGGATTTCTCATCTTCACAACAAATGCATATTGCAGATGTCTCATACCATTTTGCTCAATAGCGAGAGAAACTCTAATCAGTCTTCATTCAATGACTTTCGGCCAATACATGATCAAGTAAAATTGATCTCAGTTTATTCCATATTAAGGTGATAATGAATACATAAACAATGGTTGAGAACAATCGGCACAGTAGTTGAGTGCAGTTGCATCCTTCCCTTATTTTGAGGGTTTTGTGAATCATATTTTCTTTACGTCTATTTTTTTCTTCGACTTTGATAATATATTTTGACTATAACTAGGCATCATAAAAAGAATCGATGTATATATGGGAAATCTAGATTTCTGGATTTTTTTGTGGATCAAAAACACGATTGTGGCAAGTAGGATTGCAGGGGTAAGGGCAATCTATCTTCTGGAAAGGAATACGGTCATAAAACCAGTCTCCAACTGACCTTGCAATTGTCTATTTGAAAGAAGAAAGGAACCAATAATTTCTTTCTTGATAAGTAAAGAAATAAGCATGAATCAAATTACTCGAAAAAATGCAAAGAAAGGAACTAGGATAATCGATGCAACCTCTTACCTTCTTACTCAACATTGGAGAGTCAGGCCAGAACCATGTCTTCTGTGTTTCGGTTTGGCAATGAGCATAGCAGGAATCTATAAACATTCCCCTAGATGAAGATTTGCCAAGTGCAATCAGTGCGCTGAGGAACTGTAACCTGAAATCTGACAGTAGTACCCAAGTGAAGTTGTAATAGGGTGAATTGTCATACCTAGATGTCTTTAAGATGAGTCATAAAAACCCAATTTGGCACTTATCTACTTCATAAATACAATTTAGATCTACAAAAATTAATATGTAAATAGATAATGGAATTGAGACTAAGCAAATCAATTTTCTGATTTTGCTTCCACTCTCTGGGGAAATGAACTAGTTTGCCGATAATAAATAACTGCTTCCATATTCTTAGACAGAACCAGTAAGTTTATGTTTAGAGGTTTCTGCTCTCAACAAAAAATTTTCAACTTGAACATATTTCTAAGAACTCTAGAATGAAACTTAACAATATTTGCTCAAGTGACAGCGTTATGCTAGTTACCTTGCATGACTTTGAGCTGATTGGGCAAGCAATTCTTTATGTCAAGCTCACAACTTTGCCAATAGCCACTCGGATCGGCGACACGAGGAGCCAAAATATTTTTTATCTGAATTAGAAAGAATATTTGCAGGATTATAGAAAATTCAGTTGGAATCATAACCAAAATTCATTAATCCTGTGTTCAATTCTTATTCCTTTTCCCAGTTCTAATCTGCATATTAGTCTTATAATGCATATTTAGAATATAATTTGTTGTGTTTTACTTAGCAGCTCTCCATCTTAAAATTCCTTAAATAGCAAGAACTCAATTTCTACCTTCTAAGGTGAGAATTGAATTCCCATCATCAAGGAATTCAAAATGTGAGGTAGGAAATTAAACACCATAAATTATGTCCTTCTTATATATATTAATATTAAAGTGAGAACTAAAATGATAAATTAATTGGGAATCGAGCCAAATGCAGCTTTACAATAGAAGACATCAATAAACCATTGTTCAAATATGTATATCACTTTGTACTACCGACTCTTAGGCATCTCAACTTATAATTATGTGTATTCAAATAAGAAGATCAAACTGATTTTAAAGTTGTACAAAGAAAGGTAATGTTTTCCGTTTTCACCACTCTAATGGTTGTTAATGTTTTACTTCTTACTAAGTCTCATTCTATCCAAGAAGCTAAAGGCAAGCTGTTTTTTAACTAAAAATTAAAGAAAAAAAGGTTCTGGAAGAAACATGAAATCATATCCCACGTCTATCAAGAAAATTCATCACTGAATATTAAAGGAAATTCACACATAGAGAACCTACAACAATCTTGTAAATCAGTAAATTTCAGACTCATTATAAATATTAAGAAAAGGAAAAAGATACAAAACATTTATTTATAGCAGATGCCTCTTGATAAGAAGTTGGGTAAAGCCAGGATCAACCTTCCATCATCAATGTCAAGGAAATCAGATATAAATAGGGAAAAAGGGGAAGATGCAGCTATTTTCATGATTCAATTAAGGCTCACCTCCAACCTAGTCATAGTATGCAGCTACTTTTCCCACAATTTTCCCAACCAAAAAACCCCCTGTAAATTATTAATTTTTTTAAAATTTACATCTTCTAACTTCTCCAAGCCACATCATCATAGAGTATCCTTAAGCTTGTTGGGTCCATCTATTTGTTATGAATCACTTTCTTCACCAGTGCAGACTTCCTAATTTTCTGACAAATGAACCTGGTGTTTGTTTTAACGCGTCCTGTACTACTATGAATCAGACATCACATCTTCATTTTCAGCTAAACATATCTTCTGAATATAGAAATTTCTCTATTGAGGATAAATTATGGAAACATAATATAGATTGCCTCATGACTGTTTCCTAGAATTTTCAGTTTCAAACTGGCTCGCTTTTTATTGTTTTGGAGTATTTTAATAACAAATTTTAATTTGGCCTAATCTGCTCCAACTTCATGACTAACATCCTCCTTAATCTACTCTTCCCTTTGAATAGGTGAGCCCACATGCCTAAAGCGATAGAAGGTTTCCATATTAAATTATTAATGAAGAAATATGATCACCCCTGGCATTAGCAATCAACAAACATCAAATTTTGAATTTTAAAGAAAAATTTTGAATTTTTTGTCCAGAAGATTTTAATTACAATTGATATTTATGCAAACAACATATTCCAAGAAATAGTAGCCCGAAAACATATATTTAGAGAATAAATAAGGAGATTTTTTTTTATTCGCCTGTTTATAGCTCGTAAAGCAAGGGAACAATCTCATACAAATAATTCAGTTAATGAAGTTAAATGAGCACTACTATAAATGAGAAAAGAATTGATTCCAAGCATAACAGCAAATGAGGACTCAATTTGTACCAACCTGCCAAGAATCATAGGCTGCATTTAAAATAAAAAGTGGTGTTTGTATTTGTCGTGTCATGTACTGTGGGAAGAAACACTGCAAATTACTTAAAACTATTGGTAAGACAGAAGAGGATATGTTGAAGCATGAAACGAATATATGTCCATCATACAAGAAAACTTACCAACCCAGGTGTCATTCTTGAGGTGCATGATGGAGGCAAATTTTTTGCAGATCCCTACACACAGAAAATATAGATTCAGAATCAGAATAATATCATCATTATTTCAATCAGACAAAAAGTGGTATAAAGGAACTATCTTTTTCCTTTACAGGAAAAAGAAAGTAGTTTTGTTTACTTGGAACCATAACACTAGAGGCTGGGAACGTAAATAGCGTATGAGTATAAAGTTCATGGAAAAGCAATGATCAGAAAGCCAGAGCATGTAAGAGTACATGTGTTTCAACTGCTTCACTAAAGAATGCTGCAATATGCTGTGCTCCAGAAACATCTCGCCTGTCATAAACCATGGAATTGTTCGATTGCATAGAGAAACATGATAACATGCTTGGACATAAGGTGAGGGCAAAGGTCCTAATCATAGGCTTACGCATTGATAAAGAAACCAGCATCTGAAAGGCATTTTACTTTGGTACCCATTGGTAGGAGAGCACTGAAGCTATCGCAATGCAAAATGGAAGCCAAGCCACCAGCCGAACAACCAGAAAGAATAGCCTGTGGTAATTGATGCAGAAAAATTATTTAGAATAAGGGATAAGTAAATAAGGTTTAAAGTTGCCAGACAGTAAAGTATACTTGCATTTTCAGCATCTCTCATTCCTTTAGCTAATAGATCTTCGATGACAGCAAGCCAAACCCTTGCACCTCTGAAGTGAAGATTAGTAGCCTGATCAAATTACTATCTGATTAACTTTTCACGAAATATTAAGCATAGCTATGATTTAAGTTTTTCCCATCGAAACGGAACATCCAAATTCTTTTTTGACTTCAAATAACTTACTGGACTGACTGCTTGTACATCACCAGTAAACGATGATCCATCACAATATCGGACTTTGACTCGATTCCAGTTGTAAAAGTCTGAATAATTCAAACAAAAAAATGAAAACATATATAACTTTGGAAAACCTATCTTCAAGAACAGGATTTAGCAAAGATACAAAGTAATACCTGGATTAAATTCTCTCCTGTTGCTCAAGATACCTGAGAAAGGAATTTGCTTGGCCATTTGTTTGGATGAACCTAACCGGGTGTTCTTCCTACCAAGGCAAGTGGTGATGTTGTTGCACCATCCTCCTCCCTAGAACCCAAAAAACAAAAGCATATTGTATTAAAAGTACAGACAATTATTGAATATCCCACAGACAAGTGAAAATCATGCTTTCACCTGTAATTCATTGAAACACTTGAAACTAAAATAACTTTCAAGATTAACAAAATCTAAAAGTCTAATGAAGTTAACCTAATTTGTATTCCTCTATTTTCCATTGCTGCAATTTGCCTTTATCTTTTCCTTCATCTTTATATATATTGAGTGAAACAACAGAACAAACCTCAAGTTGAATCAACCAACTCTTAATCCCGGTACCAAATCCCCTATCCAAATGGTAAGCTGGTGGGCTACCATCCAAACAAACTGCAAAGCAAATCAGACCATGAACACACAACCAAACTTTTCTGGGGCCAAGATACCAATCAATATAGTATGTGATAGAATTTCTTACCAGCCCCTTTTTCCGGTGCATTTTGAACATATGTTATTCCCACAAAAGAGCCCTTTGTCTTCAGAAATATCATTCCACATACTAAAAGTTTCAACCATTGGCTTAACCTTACATCCACCATTCTGCCCGTTAAAATTCAAATTAAGAAAAAGAAAATTATAGAATGAAACAGAGCATACCGTGATATATAAATTAATAAAGGAATAAGCTTATATATGTTCATTCCATAAAGGAAAAAAAAAGTTAGAAATACAGCATGGAAAAGTAATTTGTCATCATCAAAGAGAAAAAGAGCAATCAAGTATCCGAAATAAAATCCTTTCCTGGGTATTGATTAAAATTTTAAAAACTAAACTAGATTTGTACATTCCATTTGTACAAAACTGCCATGTTTGAGTTTCAATCAGCAAAACTTCCAATCAATCGATTGCATCGTAATGAAATAAATATCACATTGAATAACTTGTAAGGAGAGTTTGTTGATAAACTCGTTCAAGGAAAGATAGAAAGAAGCACTAACGTGAATTTTCTGAAGTTGGGTTGGTGATTACAGGAACCCAACTTCAGAACATAGGATTTAAAGCGGGAAACAGCGATCTTCAAGAAGATGGTGAGGAAGGCAAAAGCAATAGCCAATGGGTAATGATTGTATAGAGAGAAAGTGCTTTTTTGTGGAAGTGCTTTTTTTTTCCTTGTAGAAAGAATAAAAAATAAGAAATTAACAAAAAGGGCTTTTCAGCTGGGGCAAGGAACCCGAGAGCCGACACTGATTCGCCCCTAAAACGACGCTAATAAAGACAAGATAAGCAAGAAAGCTCTGCTTATTCCAATGGACGGACCCGACCCGGATCGTTTGCGGCTTTACGACACGGGTTGCATGCAGTGGATCTATTTACTTCACGCGTTTCGCAATCATTCAACGGTTCAGATTCTCGAGAAAGTGATATGACAACGTAATGAAATTAAGACTAATATATAAACATATTTTCAGTTTTTATTTTTTAACTTAGTATAGATTTTATTTATAAAATTATGTAAATTAGCTAATAAATTAAAAAAAAAACAACACTAGGATTAAAAAATTTTAAATACTATTTCTAGTACTTTATTTATACATTAATTATTATATAATTAACTAAAATACCAATTTTTTATTAATTATTCGAAAATATTCAAAATTCTCAATGCATTATATTTATTTTCAAAATTCTTCTTAAACTTTCAAAAAATGCTACAGGTTTTTTTCTCTCTGTTAACTTTCTCAACAGTGTCTACTATTGCTGACGAAAGACGTGACATATATAAGTCACGTCACAAGTTTTTTAAATTTGTTAACAAATTAATTACGTCAATATCACTGTCAAATTTTTTAATTCATTTTGTCAATTATTCTCAATTAAAAATTTTGAATGGGATTCTCAAATTTTTTGTAAAATTCAAGCCCGAAACCAACATAGTTGACGAAAAAATAAAAATCAAACCAAAATCCATCATAAAGCTAACAACTCAATCGTTTCAGTTTCAACTTACTTACCATCTAAAAAATAATAAAAATATTACTTCCTTTTCTCATTAAAATGCTGGATGCTGCTATAAAAATCATATTCAATGTCGAATGCTCGACAACTTAGTTCAGACACCTTAATAATAGGTTAAGAAAGGTCGACAAAATGGGTTAAAAAATTACTAATGCGGTGTCTATTTGCTGACATAAATATTACATCTGCAAATTTAAAAAATAAAAATAAAAATAAAAATTATTCTATATATTTATAAACATTATATAAATAATTTTAAAAATTTTATTTTCCTTATCAACTTGAAGGAATTCAATATATTGAAGGCCACGAGAAATAGACATGTTGTAAAAATGTTGTCGGTGATTTTAATCATCATCTAAACTAAAATTTCTGGCGTAAAATAATTGCATCCATTAACTTTAAATTTGAAAAACATATTATTCAAATCTTATTTAATAAATATATATTTAAACAATTAATTTATTAAATTAATAACATGTGCTATGCACATAATAAATAAATTACATTTTTTTAAGTTTGAAACTAATAGCATGACTACAAATTTTAAAAATAAATTAATTATCATGTGCAATACACTTAATGAATAAACTATATATACAATTTTTATAAATTTTGAAACTAATAATGACTAAAAAATTGAAAAATTATATAAAATTGAAAAATTATATTGTGAAGTTTTTACTATGAATATTTGCTACCCATTTAACATTAGATATTCGCCTAATCAATGTTCTCTGTGTTTGAAAGTGTACGTGCGTTATATATATATATATATGTGTGTGTGTGTAATGTATATATAATATTCTGTTTTTTCAAATTATGATGTTTTCATTTTAAGTAGATATTAGTTAGGGTTAAGATTTAAAGTTTTATTTTATATATGAAAATATTTATTGAATTTCATTTTATATATTTATATATATAAATAATTATGCTCACTAAAAATACAGATAATATTTGAAATTGTAATACCTGGGCCGATGAAGGAATTTTTCTATTTTATTTATTTTAAAAAAATTATAAAAATAATTAATTTAATTTGTTTTAATTCATTTGAATTTTTGAGAAAAAATAAATTATGGAAGAAATTGAAAATAATTTTAAAAAAATGAATAAACTTCTGAATTCGATTGGTGTTTTTGAAAGAAAATTTTAAAATATGAGGTTAAAACGAAAAAAGAAAAAGTTCGGTCACGTGGGACAGCCCAATCAGCAGTTACAGCAAACTAAAGCACGCTGTGTAGCAATCTCGCTGACACCGGCACTACGCAGGAAGCCACGCGAGCCATCCGTGTGCCCAGCGATCCAACGGTCCAGATAATCTTTTATTTTGTAAAAATTAAAAAAATCCTGACAATAATTATAGGTCACTAGTAGAGTTGGAAAACTAGTCAGAATATGATTGTTCTAAACTTGTTTATGTGTCTATTTATTTTTATATACTACCTAAATTGCTTATTGTTCTGTCGTATAATTTAAATTATTACATTTAATTGCTTCATTGTTATTGATTGTCTTATTGTTATTTTTATCTAATTGACTGATTTGAAATAGAGACCTTAATTACGTTTCTCAATTGTTAAGGTATAAAAAATGTATTGTTTTCTTAAATGTCGTTTGATTGATCTGTGAATATAAAATAAAATGTTAGTAGGCGATTGGTAATTGTTTGTTAATGGGGATCTATATATGAAAGGTTTATTGGGTACTCTAAGAAATGGTGGACGGACCCGATACATAGGAAAAACTCTACCATGGATAGTACCTTAGCCGAACGAGGCTGAGGAATCCCATACCAAAAGGGTTTGAAAATATGGTTCACCTTTATACCAGACAGAGTATCGAGCCGATAGTGTATTTGGCACCCATTACCATATGGGGTATGTAGATGGCCAGTTAATTGAAAATCTAAATATTGGGTTCACGAGTATGGGGATATCCTTATGGACCCCCAGGAGTCCTAGTAAGCAGGTAAAAAGGAAGAATGACCGAC